TAGAGGTCAGGTTTAGTCTTACAACCCTTCTAAGGAACCGGGCCAACACTGCTGACCATCCAGGTTTGCCCAGCCCAGGCTTGCACGGCTCACATAGCTTTTGGCTCTGTTGTTTTCTCAATTCTGCCTATTCACACACATGCTATATGTATCTATAGATCTTACTATAACAGCATTCTGATCTGTTACCTATATCAGAGCAAATAGTTGATCCTCTGCCTAACGTCACAGGGTTCTCTCTCTGGACATCTGAAACAAAGCTATCCATTAACATTCACATCTAAAGTAACCACAGTTGAGATTTTAACATCAAAACATTTAGAAAAGTCCCACTTATAATACAGGTACACTCCTCAGAGTTCCCACGTAGTTGAGAATGCGCAGTGGAAGCAATGCTGACCTTGGTATTTATAGAAATATATAAACTAGTTTAGAATTCTTTATTCCTCCTTTTCATTCCAGTCTAAACCAGAAGCAAAGAATACTGTAGCTGTACAAGTCAGATGCAACCACACATAGGCCGAGGGCACAAATGAGCACAGCCTCTTGGTAGCAAAGGCTGGCACAGGAGGAAGGTTCGCCCATGACACTAAAACACCAGTCTGGTTTATAACTTTTTTTTTTTTTTTTGTACTGGGGATTGAGCCAGGGTGCTTAACCACTGAGCCACATCCCCAGTCCTTTTATTTTTATATATATATATATATATATAAATATATATAAATAAATATAAATTTTTAGAGACAGGGTCTTTGGGGGTTGTGTAAGGCCTCACTAAGTTGCTTAAACTGGCTTTGAACTTTTGATCATCTTGCCTCAGCCTCCTGAGTTGCTGGGATTACAGGTGTGTACCACCATGCCTGGCTCTATAACAGATCTTAATAGTGTTTGAAGAACTGCTTTCAAGTTACAATAGGGTCCTTATTTCAATCATTCTAAACAGGAGATATTGTCAGAGTTGCTTTTTACAGTCCTGAAAAATTATGCTCCGAAATGATGCGCCTGAAAAACTGAGACATTGAACTGAAGCGTTTCTTGAATACAAATATCGATTCAATAGAACTGTGTGGATGATGGCGTTCAGAATCTGGGAGTGGCTGCCTAGCACAGACTGCTCCTCTCCCTACCCTGGGCTAGGTTTCTGCGGTCTCGACCCCAGTCCTCTCCCTAGGCTCAGTCGTAGGCATCTCCCTGTTGCCTTATTCCCAGAGCGATCTGTGCAGACCTCTGGTGTACATTGCTTAGGTTTAAGCATAATTCATGCTGAACTTCCTTATCTCCCAATTTAGACTGTTGGTTCTGGAAGGCAGAGGCTAGACCTCTCATCTTTGTGTCCCTGTACCAACTGCTGCACCTGACCACTCTGTGGTTTTCAATGTTGGTTGAGGCGGCGATGTGGATTAACCAGAACGTTCTGCCATTCCTGAGCGTGCCATGCATTGTCATGCTTTTGCTCATGCCAGTTCCTTTCCTGGGAAGCCCCTTACTGTGTTTCTCTGCCAGCTCAGAAGCCACCTGCTTAAGGCTGTGGAAGCTGAACTCTTCCCTTTCAGCCTCACTGTGGACCCGGGACCTGCTTCTCAGCTCCTCACACCACACCATAACTCTGAGAAATCTACTTCTCCATCTCGCTCGCTAATTATGGGACCCAAGAGGGCAGACGTTGTTTTAGTCCTCTTTTATGATCCCAGCATAATATAAGGAACATGAATGCATTCAGTAAGGTCTGTTCAATCCTCCATTCCACAACTTGGGACCATATTCTAATCTTTTTTTAAAAAATTATTATTCCTTAAGCAGTTAATGTTGGTAAGATAACCTTTTTGCATGAAAAATGCCAAATGCTGTAACATGCTAACATGATCCAGATTTCCAAGCACTTCTTATATTCCTAGCAACGATGGGTGAGTGTCCTACGGGAAGGCAGACGCATTTTCTAGAAAGTTAACCCTTTGCTCAATATAGGCTCTTTTGCATTATGAAGGAAACATGCAAAAAAGAAATATTAAGGTCTTACATTAGTTCTCCTCCTTGGAATAAGGATGTAAGAGAATCACATTTAGTATTCAGAATCTCTTGGGAGGGGAAACTTGAAGATGAGATGCATCATTAATACTTACTTAGCATAACAATCCTAACCAACCATTCTTGGCATAACAGAAAAAGGACCAACCACCTGTGGACTAATAATATTCTATAGGAGCAGTTCCTCCCCAAGTTGGTCATTTAAGACAACCACCACCAAAGAGGTCAGGGACAGTAAGGATTAAAACCAGAGCCAGCCACATTGAAACCACCCTTGTCCCATTACGCTGGTTTTGGGCTCAGAAGATCTACAAAATATCTAAGTGATGAAGCAGCTTCTGTTTTCCCACATTTTTCTCAGTGAATGGTGTTCTTTCATGGTTGTTTTAGAAAATAACGAACAAGAAACTCTGTAATAGATAATCATTCCTGGGGCTTAATTCAAAAATTTTCCATTTTGAGGGCAAGAATTCTCACAATTATTTCAGATCCAGGAGCTCTCCAACATCTATCTGTGCGATTCTTTTTAAATGCAAAACGGTTTAAGAAATTTTGTTATAACAAACATTAAAATTCAAATCTACTCAACATGCAAATGCACTAAAGGTTTGTTAGAAACCATAGAATTGAAAGAAAACACTGACTGGTTCATTTTGAAGGAAGCAAGTGCCCTCCCTGCAGAAGCTATGCTGAATTTTTCTGCAATTCTGGGCACCTTAGAACTTAAGCAGAGCAATCCTGTGAAAAGTGCTGAAGAATGTGTTACTGATTCTTCATGTTTCTTTGAACTATTTTTTTCTTAGAAGATAGCAAAAGCTACAATCTCAAAATCTTTCTCAGGGAGGGGCGTGCTTTCAACTTTAAAACCAAAAATTGAAAAAGCCCTGGGATTAAGCAGTATAAAACCATTCTAGTTCTAACATCTATATTTAGTCAAATCTTAAGTTTAAGAGGAATGATTCTACATTGTATTTAAAAAAATGCAACCCCCATTCCACCAATGGGCAGGATACAACTTGTGAAACGTTAGGCCTCTTTTTTAAAAAAATTAGAATTTAAACAGTGAACAAGAAAATGGAGTACAGCAACAAAACAAAGCAAATCAAAACAAACACAACACAAAAACAAGCCCACGCTGGGGGGGTCAGGAGCTCCCATCCTGGCCCTGTCCCCTAAAGTTGCATAAGTTTCCTAAGAGCCTCCTGTGTTCCTGGGGTGAAATGACTTGGCTCAACTCTTGCACCACGCTCACTGGTGTGCAAAGCAGGCACAGAAGCGTCTGCCGAGTCGTCCTCGGTGCAGCAGCTTCTCAGCACCCAAAGGACTGGGAGAGGCTGGAGGGAAGGGCTTGCTTGGTTTTACCACAGCAAACCCCAAAATATAGCAGTTTTGTATGACAAATTTTAAGAGACTCTCTAGTAAACTGGAAATATCCAGTTCCTCATATTAAGATATGAGCCCTTGAAGAGCATCCAGGTGTGACAATGAGCATTAGTCACGAATGAGCAAGAACAAACTTGGGCTGCCGTGGGACTTGGGAGCCAGGATATACCTATAGCTGTAGTTCTGGTGCCACGCACACCTAGCACACATGATGCATGTCACCAGACTTTCTGGTGAGCCAGTTCCTTCATTTGTCTGTCCTAGATCAGTGTAAGCTTCTTTGGGAACCTAATTTAAAACATCTGATTAAATTGAATATCTCTAGAGGGAAAGGATGAGAACTCGAGCTTGGGAGGGTCTTTAAGAAATTGCCCTGCGGACGGGCAAGGACACAGCACCACAAGTCAGTTCAGTCTTGCCAAGATGTGTCAAATGTTGCACAGCAGGGCGAACAGTTAAGAAGCAAAGTAATCTAGTTAGATCTTGATTAGTCTTCAGGTATTATTCATTTTAGGATGCCAGCAAGCTCAGGGCTATAGGCAGCCTTCATCAATAAGGTCTGCTTTCTTCATTCGTCTTTTTAAAATTTATATCTGAATACATATGAAAAAAAAAAAACCAAACCTGAGGCTAGCTGGCATTGGGGGGGGCTTAGTTGGGAATAATTTAGTTTCAAAAGGAATGGAACTTAGTGCGTAGAGCCTAATTAATAATCCCGCTTTATCTTGAAGAGTTGGTGGTAGATGAAGCCTTCGCCAGTTATGTACCCAATCACCTGGGGGGTGCACCCTGCAACTTACCTCCGGGGCCAAGTTGCCTGGACCAAATTCATCTAGTCTACAGAGAAAGCTTTCAGAAACTTAAAATGCTGAACTGTACCTGTCTGTACATGACTATCCCCATCAGCTACAGAAATGCAAGATCAGTCTGCTAAGGAGCAGGGCACAGGCCATCCTATAACTAGGTAATCACCTGGTGACAGTGTTCAATTTAAGGGGTTACACAGGGTTTGGTTTAAATCTGCTCCCCTTACCTTAAAAGGTAAAGCATTTATCTTAGGTGCAGGAAGGGCAGTACTTCTGTGGACTCCCACCCTCTGGGAGACCTGAGATTATGTCTCTGTCACTTTCTATCACATCCCCAGCACCTGGCAGCCACTTCATAAGCATTTGGCAAACGAATGAACCAAAACAGGCTTTTCCATGACTATAGTTTATCCCAGGATGGCGAATTTACATCTCTTGGATGAAGATTTGAGAAATCTGAGGGCTAAGTAGCCAAACAAGAAAGAGCTTTTCATTCTGTCTCCGCAAAGAGAATTAGTTTTTTTTTGGTCCAGTACCTGGGTAAAGTAGTTTGCATTTTGACTTTTTTTTTTTCCATATTAAAACCATGTCCTTAGCAGCACTGAAAGCAGTGGCCACTCCTACTGGCCTTATCTTGTGATGGTGCAGGGTCTGTCCTCTCCTGCCCAGTCCCCCACTTTCAGGCTAAGTACTTCAACATGGGAACATGACGACTGCAGAACTGTCCCCTCCAGTCCCATTTCAGGGGCATGTGTGTGTTGGGAAGTCGGGGTTTCCCTCCTTTACCTGGTCCTTTAATTCTGACAGCTGTCCAGAAAGATTAGTGACAAGCTTCATGGTGGATTCCAGCTTCTCCTGCAGGTTCCTCAGCTCGTTCTGTTCTCCTTCGGAATCGCTGCTGACCAAGGACATGGCTCTCATCCTGGGGAACCAGTCAAGGTTTCTTTCCTAGAATCCACATGAAGGAAAAAGAAAGAGTGGGAGTTAGTAGAGGGGCAAAAAGGCCGCCATACCATGCCGTTTGGACTACGGGGCGTCTCTATGTGAGCTGTCCCTTGTGAAACAAATGTGCTATTATACTTCTTAACTATTCAGTAATGATCTTTTAAAGGGAACATAATGGACCTCTTAATTCCTAGAAAAGGAAGTTGTTTTAACATTTAACTCAGGGGAAAAGAAGGTTTCCAAATTAGAGTCCTGATCTGCAACTCTGAGTACTGCTTCGGGGGCTCTGGTTTTTTCACAGGATATGGCTGGTGATGAGTTCTGTTTTAAATTGTGGTAAAATGTGCACAGCAGACTTTAGCCATTTTTGAAGTGTATAGCGCAGTGGTATGAAGTACATTCACACTGCTGTGCAAGTATCACCACAGCATTTTTCTTTCTTTTTTTGTGGTACCAGGGATTGAACCAGGAGTGCTCTACCACTGAGCTATAATCCAGTCCTTTTTATTTTGAAGCAGGGTGTTGCTAAATTGGTGAGGCTGGCCTCTACCTTGCCATCCTCCTGCTTCAGCCTCTGGAATTGCTGGGGTTACAGATATGCACCACCGTACCTGGAAACCAGAACATTTTTCAATCTTCCCAACTGAAATCCCAAACCACTGATGGCAGCCTCCATTTTATTTTCTGAATCTGAACTTGCCTACTCTAGGTAGCTCATAGTATGCTGCATATTCTTAAACTTTTTAAATTTTATTTATTTATGTGGTACTGAGGATTGAACCCAGGGTCTCACACATGCTAGGCAAGCATGAGCTGAGCTATACCCTCAACCCCCTATGCTGCATATTTTAAAAAAGTATTATATGGGCACAACTGTTTGCATACATTGTGGAAGTGAAACGGATTTTAACAGCCCACAGGTTCGGGCATTTCAACAGATAAGTGCAATATAATGTGCCTGGTAAAGGGATCGTTGAAGAGGCTGAAAACAAGGCCTGGGGGCTCCCCAATCATTTTCCCAGTTTCAGAGCTTATGGACACCACCCTACTGGTTTCCTGTTCTTCCCATGCTGAAAAGCTTAATGGGAGCTGTCCACTGTAGGAGGCCTCCTTCCCCGAGGGCACAGTGTTTCTCACTGCTGGTGAGCAAGATGGGTTGCCTCTCTTCTGGCCTCACTTCCTCCCCACCACATACGCCTTCTCCTCCACAGCTTTCTTCATACCTAGGCTCTATACAGAGAGGCAGGTATGAGCACAAGAGCAGCTCGAGCCAGAGGAAGAAAGCTGACTCATTCCAGATATATCTGGTGTCCTCCTCACCTGGCCCATTTTGGTCTTGGCAGGCTGAGTTTAATAGACTTTCCAGAAGTAATCATGCTTCTACCTCCCCAAACACGCACAATGAAGCTATCTCTGCTTTGTGTACACCAAGGGTCAGGAACATTTTTTTTTTTTTAATATAATGAGAATGTTGACAGTCAATGTTCCTGGCTTTGTGGACCACATGGTCTCTGTATTGTAGTCCTCAGAGTAGTTGTAACAAACAACCACAGACCATATATATAAGTGGATGGTGTGGCTGTGTTCCCATAAAACTTTATTTTCAAATATTGATGATGGCAGGCTGGGTTTGGTCTGCTGGTCAGAGTTTGCCAACCTCTGTTATACACAGAAGGCTTCAACTGGGTGTGGTGGTACATGTCTATGATCTCAGCAACTAGGGAGGCTGAGGCAGGAGGCGCTCAAGGTCAGCCTGTTCAACTTAGCAAGACCCAGTCTCAAAATAAAAAATAGAAAGGACTGGAGATGTGGCTCAGAGGTGAAACATTTCTGGGTTAAATCCCCAGTAGCCCCCCGCCCAAAGAAAAGTAAAATCCATGAGGCATACCTAAATATTATGATTCAAGTGAAATGGTTAAACTGTGTCGTGACCTAAGGCAACCTCACAGGGTAGAAACCATATAAGAACTAGTTGGAAAATGTCACAACAGGCGCAGCACATCTACTTTAGAGTGTTTGCTCAAGACATCAGGAGAGTCTCGCAGGCAGAAACTCACTAGCCCGCCTGCATCATGAGGGCCAGGGCCACCTTTGGGAAAACACAGCAGACACTCTGCCCTGGTTTGTGGAAGGATGGAGCGACACTGTGTCCTGTGTGCACCCTTGATAAGACATGTGAAAACAGCACGTCGGAATCGCCTGCAATGACTGCAGGGGAGGAAAGAGATGATCTCTGCCTTCCCAGACTTTGACATAAGCACTTCATTCACAAGTGCCTTCACGTACCCCTCTGTTCATTTCCCACCACAGAGTAACAGGCAAAAGATCATTTCACAAAATAACAGTTTTTAAGCTACCATCTTAGAAACATAAGTGTTTCTCCACTGGTAATCAGTTTTCCATGGTGTGGCCATCACTAATTAGATTCACTGCCCCAGTGTCCACCCTTCAGACCTGATAGCCCCATTTTCCCACCAATGAAACAGCCCACTTTCAATATTGGCGCAACTTGGAGGAATGGAGCTACCTTCTCAGAAGAGCTCCCTCCCCCTCCTGGGCCAGCTGTGGAGTGGGGATGGGGAGCACCCACCTGAAGAAGCCAGGAGCCCAACCCAGGCATAAGAGGTCCTGGACACCACAGTGACTGCTACTAATCCCAGAGGAGGAGACAAAAGTCTCACTTGCTTTGTCAAAGGCGGGAGCCCATAGTTAGCCCATCAACTGGGATGTGACAAAACGTACTGCCAGGAGGGAACTTAAGAGATCACCAGTCCCACCACTGTAAGTAAAGATGCGGAAATCCGAGGCTCTGAAAGGGAGAGTAGTTTGTCAGGGGCTGGGGAGGGTAGGGGTAGGCGGCAGGAAGAAACCAATCGCTATTTTTCAAAGCAGATCCTAAAAATTATCTAGTGCTTAGAAATCATAGACTGCTCCAACTGAGTATTTTTTTTTGGTGGGGGTCGGATATTTGATAGTTATATGAATTTGAATAAGAAGTGTAAACACTGGAAAGTATTTAAAAAAAATACTTGTGGCAAACTCAACAAGCACTTCAGGAACCCTCAGTGCTCTGCTTCATGATGAGGATACAGCAGAGAGCAGTAGGAAGCCAGTCTGGCACCCTGGACTCTCTAGAAAGGAACAGACAGAGCAGACAAGAAGGCAGCCTCAACACATCGGAGAGGGCAGGAAGAGGTCCAGTCACTCTGCCTGACAGGTGTGGCTGCCATTTCAGGGAACAGCCAGGACTTTAGCTGACTGAGCACTGAGGTGCAAGTGAATCCGACCTCTCCTGGATGCATTTGCTTAGCAAACCCTCCAGAAAAATAGAAAGTGAAGATTTCCAGAGTCCACATGAATGACATCTTCAAAAGTCTCTGGAAGATCCGTGCACAAGTCTGCATACAGAGAAAGCTCAGGGAGCCACGTCTCCTCCTTATTCTAATCCTTATTCTAATGACAAGTGATCAGACAATGACAGATGAAAATGAGAATTGTTCTGTGGCAGATTCCCACCTGCTTTCACAGTGTATGTGGTTCCCTGACACCAGGAAGAACTTTAGAAAGGTGTTTAAACAAATTGGTGCAAAGTGCACAGACTTCCTCCATTTAAGAGCTGTTTCGGGAACTTGCACAATTTCTGTGCCCAGGCCTGAGAGCATGAGGAAGTACAGATGGGAAAGACGGGGTCTGTGCCCTGAAAATGTCAGCTCCCTAGCTGAACCACCTAGCTGGCACCAAGGCCTGAGTGCCTACACGTGTTCTGGGGGGGAGGTGGGGACCCTGACACGAGGATGACTGCCACTCATCTCATTGTTGAAGCAGAGGCTCTCAGATCCTGTGATTTAATTTTTTTTTTTTTAACTTGATTTGTGCTTTTGTCAGTAGGACACCTATAATCCTGGGGCAGGAAGGCACTGCCCAAGAAGACATATAAGCACACGCAGAAAAAAACACATCTTTCTAGAGTGTCCATTTTAGTTGATGGCAGATGATTGAACATATTTTTATATTTAATTCAAAAAATGCCGTGCAACTGAATCCAACTTCAAAATCTACCCCTTCACAGGGAGGCTGTGTTTGCTGGGGACCACGTATGAGGGATAACACTCTCTCCTCCATTTCCCAGCCCCCTGCTACAGGCTCCTCTCCAAAGCCTCCTTATGAAAAGCTGGGGTGGGTGGGACCCCTCCAATATCCCAGTCTGCACAAAACAAACTGCAGGGAATGGTACGCCCTGGACAGCACACACAGAAGTGGGTAGATCCCGGGTGTTGCCACTATTTTTTATATATATATCTTTTTAGTTGTAGTTGGACTCAATACCTTTATTTTATTTTTGTGTGGTGCTGAGGATCGAACTCGGGGCTTCCCAAGTGCTAGGCAAGAGCTCTACCTCTGAGCCACAACCCTAGCATTTTAATTAAACATCCTGGGATGTTGAGTCAAATCTCCAATTATCAAACAGTAGCCAGTAGTTAAATTAATTAGCGATTCTAGCCAAGCTGTCCTCTCCCTTTCCAGCTGGTTTTGCCTCCTGCTCAGGAAGAGAAACTCCACTGACCTGACCCACCTGAGCACAGGGAATCCCAATCCCACATGAAAATGTTTAGACTCTCCCAGTGCCTTGCACAGGAGCAGAGACAACGACCAAATCCAGGGACCTTCTCTTTAGCTAAGACTTTCAACATGGTGAGCTTGTGTGCTCCATCATTCCAGGGAGGCCTGTCACCCACAGCTCTCCAGCTAGCCGGTGTCCCAAGGTCCAGCATGTTTGCACAATCCCACGTCTCACTGTTCTGGCTTCTACTGCCTTTTTGGAAAGTGCTGTTCAACAAACTCTGTTTACACAGGGATTCACCTTGGGGCCAGTGCGTGTGGCTGCAGGGCTGGGAGAGGGTCTGTGGGTGGCATGCGTCTCTGCTCCCCTCCCTCTCCTCGCTGCTGGCCATCTCACATGCCAGTGTGATGCAGCCTTGTCTGCACGGACCTCCTGGTCCAAC